CATTCTTTGCAGTTTGTCATGGATAATGTAGCGGCTTAACATAAATAAAGCTTAAAATTGATAAAAGTCATGCAGACCTTGCATGCAGACCTTGAAACCATGCATGATTTTGAAATCATGCTACGGTCCTGCGTTTTCTTTCATTCATGTTTTCACACAAAAACGGATAAAAACGAGGTCAATTGACGAACGTCATGGAAATGTTTTCCTATGGAATGTGTGAACAGAGCATCAAATGAGTTTTGCTTCATTGTTATAGATGACGAGATAGTTGATAGATTCTAGACCTTTTTACCATTCTTGATCCAAATATTTCCAAATTCTATAAAATTATATTGGTGATTTTTTCACTGATTATTTTTATGACCCCCTCCATTTATACCAAAACTATAAAAAGACCCACCCCTTTGAAGCATGTCAAAATTGGCTGACCCACCCCCAAATTCCTCCGGCCCACCCTCCCAGCTAAAAAATGAATGCTCCCTTATGAGATGTCATTTCATAACATTCACTAAAGCCTGACGTTGACAGACTTCACTTCAGCCATCGTTAGAGCTTCACAGCCAGGTTTTTAGTCAATGTTATTTTCTTTTCTTTCATTTGTACAGTTAGTGTGAAAAACAATTTAAACAAACTTATTCATCAAAATAAAAACATTATATAATAAAGATACAACATATTTATATGTTCATATATTATTTTATTTCAAATATTTTATTTTTAAAAATTTACAATTTCAAAACTAAATAGATCGAATTTTAGTAGATTAATTATCACCTAAAATATGTCGTAATGTCATTAGATTGGTGAATTTAACAATCAAGTTTGATTTTTCAAAAAAAATTATTCGTCGATTATTACTGTTGATCCTGAATTAGAACGGTCGCCCTAAACTCTAAATATATTTCAAGCTTAATAAATTTACATCAAATTTGTCGCAAATTTCCCGGTTTGGTTATACCGTGGTCAAATTCATTTGTGGAAACATTTGTGAAAAATCACTGGTCGATAAACTATTTACAAATAACAGGATTAAATATTGATTTGCAATGTATTATATTTGCAATAAAAAGCAGTGGCAAGCTAGCCATCGCAACAGCCAAACAGTCATGCTATGCAAAATTTTAATGATTTGCATTATTCAAACCAAATGTATTGTCTTTAACCTATATAGATGCAGGTTTATTAGCATAGCATGACCAGTTGCCATGGCTAGCTTCACCACTGATAAAATGTTTATTATTTAGGCCACATAAAATAAATTCCTTGATTCTCATCACTACACTTCAAAAATGTCGAAGAGGCGGGAGGTTTATATTTTATATTCTATATTTATATAATTTAATATATATCAATAAATAAAAGTGTCACAAACTGAAATAAACATATTTCTCCACGAACAATGACTGGCCCTTGAACTGAATGCGAAGTTCCGTTAAAATGCAATGAAATTTCTTTCAAGGTTCTATTTGTTTGAAATTGGCAGTTTAAAATGGCACTAAAAACCCAATATAAAATATAAAAAACTTAACTGTCTTGAAATATTTTGTTGGGCGGTACATTTATATTGTATAACAAAATATAAAAAAGTTCACGCGGCTCTTAAAATACAGTCGGGAGGTGATGAGAATCAAGGAATTTATTTTATGTGGCCTTACAAAAATGTATATTTACATGTGACTGCTGTGAGGTCACTATCAGTGGCAGATACGGTGGGAAAACAGAAGAGGGAAGGGAACCTTGACTGGGTTTTATTTAAGCAAATTTTGCAATAATTTGAGCCTGAAAGACTTGATAAGATCTGATATTGCAGAAACTAAGATTCGCAGCGCTTTACAAAAGGTTGATAATAGTTTGGTAGTTAATTTTTGCTAGTTAAAACCTCCACCCGTAGTAAAATTTTCCAATTTATACTGCGATGCTACTCATAGCAAACACCTTATCTAGTGAGGCGGCGGTTGAGCTGGTCTGTTGGAATGGAGTAACCGCCCGCATGCTTTTTAGCGAATCGTACAGCGGATTCTCCACCATCATTCCTTCGTTATCATAGCCAAGCTCGGCCGCGTTAGATTGTTTCCTGTGTGAAGAGAGGAATAGGGTAATTAATTAAAGACATTGCTCTGGTAATAACAACTAGATCGAGTATCTATTGCGCTAAAAATGAAGCCACAAGCCAGCCATTACTAACCTAAAAGTACTAAAGAACCAACCTGTTTCCAATAGGCAAAATCATGATGCAACGATGAGAGATTTTCGTAATATATTTAAAACTACATTCTAAAATGATTGGGTTTGATTAGATTACATTTGAAATAATTGATTAGGAAATAAACGATGAACTGACATTACAAAATAATAATGGTTATGTAAATACCTGAAGAGTGGGTGTCTACAGCTTAAAACACACACTCCTGTCATACAGACACAAACTTATTTCTCGGACATATTACCGCATGCAAATCAGAGTTAAATCAGGTTGTAATCAAGTTGATTTAATTATCAAATGTTACTTATATAAGAATTTAAGAAATATAATTATAGGATTTATAGCTTTAGTTCAATGTTTCACTATAGTTACAGACGTGCACGGAACACAACCAATAACCTCACGTAGCTCTGACCTAATCGTAAATCTAATCTAAACTAATGCCATTTCTAATCCTAATCCAAGCTCTCATAACTCAATCCTCAATATAATCCCAATCGTAATCTTAACCTGAATCCTCCTCCTCAATTAACCTCAAGGTTATGTTTTCATCCGCGTTTGTGTATTAATACGAAACTTTGTGGAACTAATGGAGATGACCCAAGAACAATCGGCTTAATTTGCTGTCTCCCTGGCAAGCAACTCTAATCTTTGTGAAATCATTGCTTGAGAGTAATATTAAACCGGCGTTTAGGAAGGGAATTCTCACCTCACCAATTCATCAATATTCAAGGTCATTTCGGCACGATTAAAATTTCGAGCGAAATTCTTTTCCATCATCTCTCGTGGAATCTCGTACAAAGGATCCGGAGACGTCGTCCTGGCCTTTTTCTTCTTTAAACTAAAAAAATAAAATAATACGATAAATCGATAATACATATAAAGAAGTGACTGACCGACCAACCGAATCTATTACCTCTGGCGAAGGAAAGATCCTGGTAGGAGCTGGTCACGTGATCTGCTAAAATCTAGCAGATTTTTAATTGATGATGATGATGTTAATAAATGTTGGATATTTATACAATAATTTATGATTTGCATTTTGTTTTGCAAATTTGATTTGATTTTAAAGGAATCCAAGATAGTTAATTAGAAATCTGTTAGATTTGAGCAGATCACACGACCAGCTCTTACCAGGGTCTTTCCTCCACAAGAGGTAAGAGCCTGGGAACGAGGTTGCGACCAACCAAAACTTGCATATCGCTTCGCAAAAACACCCTTCCAGAAAGTACGTATACGTCGCTTTGGTTTCAGGGCTTCGTTTTCGTGTATATGTTGACATAAGTTAAAGTCTGACATCTCAATCACGAAAGCAAGGCCCTATAGCCACGGTGGCCCAACTCGCAAGTTCGTTGCGAGTGCTTGCATCTAATTAACATAAACTGTCGAGCATTGTGATTGGATGAAAGCACTCGCAGCAAGCTTGCGAGTTGACTTTTACCATTGAACTGAATATAACTGGAACGCTACCTCCGACCAGAAATTTGAAGCCAAATTTGAATGCCAGTTCCAGTCTTTTACCGCATGCGAAGAGCGCTCAATCAATCAATCAATCAATCATGCACGCGTGTCTTGACCTCCAGACACGCGTGGTCAAGAAAAAGATAGCGTTCCAGTTATATTCATTTCAATGGACTTAACAGATCTTACAGCATCAAAACACACACTCGTTACTTAATTAAGATTTCTTCAACATGGCCAATAACAAAATGTAACTAGCCTTACCTTACATACACCACAACTATGGTGGTTATAACTAACATCAAGAAAAAAGTTCCAAACAGCCCACCATAAATTTTTACATTTGACACATCAAGGCGCGAACCTTTTTGTTCACCTATTTAATGAAACAAATTGAATAAAAATGTTAATAAGATTGCATCCCTGAAGCTCTCAGAGGGAGAGCGACAAGGGAGTAAATAACATGTCCCCAGAATGCTACTATTTAAATCACCGAGCTCTCGTGTGATCGGGCCGGGAAAAGGCCGGGAATTTAAATAATGCTCTGGTGAAACTAGCTCTCGCTGTGACTAAGAAATTGAAATTTGAGATATCGCAGAAATTGAAATTTTGCTGCATTTCCCCCAATTTTTAGAAATGCCTGGTGAGGAGGTAGCGCGTCCTGCGAGTTTGGTTTCGAATTCGGGGGGAGGGGTGTATTACTCCGAAAATTCCTCGTACACATTTCCAAAAGTCGAAAAAAAAATCTTTCGAAAAATCCCAATATATATCTTTCCGAAAACTTCGAAATCCCAAACCTTCCTAGAAAATCACTAAAAATCTCGTGAAGTGAACAAGATCCACTCAAAATCCTGAAATCTTGCCAAGAATAAAAAATCCGCTAAAAATCTTGCAAATTAAAATCCCAAAATGCCTGGGTATTTTTACAGGGATTTAAAAATCCCCCAAATCCTTTTCCCTCTTTTCAGAGTAATACACCCTCGATCCTATGATGAACGGAGTCTTAGTGATATTTACTAGCAAGTGGTGCAGGTATTCCTTCCCAACTGCATTCATTGACTGTATTGTTGGAACACAACAACTCTCTACCATTGCTGTCGTCACACTGTTCTTTATACGTTTGAACATCCTTGTCAATACTTTCACAATCTTTCAAACAATTTGTGTCATGCCAGCCTTCGGGACAACTGAGAATGTTTTGCTTTATTCCTTCTGCAACTTGACAGTAATACAGTAGCGTGCCTGATTCTTGACGTCCTGCAGTAGTGCAATGGAGATTGCATTCCAGTCCATATCGATTTTCAGTACAGATTTGCTCATTTTTATCACAGTTTGCACCGTGCCAATCTCTTAAACATACCCTATCCCCTTTATCATTGCATTTATAATGCATATTACTGTCATTACAGAATTTTGAACAATCCTTTCCAAACCAGTTTTTCAAACATATTTTATCTCCGTCAACATTACATTTAAATTTTTTGATACTGTTGTCGCAAAACTTCGAACAGTCAGGACCATACCAATCTCTTAAACATACCCTATCCCCTTTATCATTGCATGTATAATGCATGTTACTGTTATTACAGAATTTTGAACAATCCTTTCCAAACCAGTTTTTCAAACATATTTTATCTCCGTCAACATTACATTTAAATTTTTTGATACTGTTGTCGCAAAACTTCGAACAGTCAGGACCATACCAATCTCTTAAACATACCCTATCCCCTTTATCATTGCATGTATAATGCATGTTACTGTTATTACAGAATTTTGAACAATCCTTTCCAAACCAGTTTTTCAAACATATTTTATCTCCGTCAACATTACATTTAAATTTTTTGATACTGTTGTCGCAAAACTTCGAACAGTCAGGACCATACCAATCTCTTAAACATACCCTATCCCCTTTATCATTGCATGTATAATGCATGTTACTGTTATTACAGAATTTTGAACAATCCTTTCCAAACCAGTTTTTCAAACATATTTTATCTCCGTCAACATTACATTTAAATTTTTTGATACTGTTGTCGCAAAACTTCGAACAGTCAGGACCATACCAATCTCTTAAACATACCCTATCCCCTTTATCATTGCATGTATAATGCATGTTACTGTTATTACAGAATTTTGAACAATCCTTTCCAAACCAGTTTTTCAAACATATTTTATCT